AAATGGGTTGCTTTTTGTTTTGCTGCTAAGCATATAAGCTACAGACTGGAGTAACAATCAGCCTGTAAAACTTTGGATGGCTTAGTGAGTCTGGCCCCCTTGCACTTGCCACACTTCTTTCTCATGCTTGGCTCCAGCTAGGAAGTGACCCAAGCTGCGATCAAGTCCACAAATTCTCAGGAATGCTAGCAGCTTCCTTGTTCAAAGTACATAATTCTTTGCACAAAGGATGCAAAGCCTGCAAGCCACATGTGTAGAATCAACTCTGCTTGAATGGACAGCAGGCAGGCAGGTGATCATGTGCATCTTGGACTCCCCTGGACTTGATTCCTGCAAGATGCATGTGCAAATGCTGGGTGCAAGGCAAGCTTGGAGCAGAGAGAAAGCCGTTCAGAGTCCAGGGAGCCGAGCTGAGGAAATCTGATGGATTCCCAGCACTAGATTCCTCACACATCATTAGCTGAAACAGAAGTAAAGACATGGATTGGAGGGGTGAAACCTTTTGCTGGGCCAAACAGTGAATTGATGCAGATTTTTGGTCTGCACTGAGATTGTAGGCAAAAAAAGTTTTCAGAAAAGAAAGCATTGTACATGCAGAGAAGTAGCTGTATTTGTAAAGGTTGATTTCTTAGCCAAGCAAGTGCCATCTCTTCACATTTTCTCCCAAGCCAATTTCTAAACTGTGGTTGTAATATTGCATTGCATTGATATTTTGCCCTTTCTTCTTCAAGGCCGCTTACATAGCTCCATTTTAACCTCACAACAACAACCCTGTGAAGTAGGTTGGTCTGCAAGCCTGTGACTGGCTCAGAGTCCCCCAGTATGCATCATGGCTGAGTGGTGACTAGAAGCCAGATCTCCTGGTCCTCAATCTGACACCTGAGCCATCACACCCACGCTCAGTATAAACAGCTATAATATTCCTCTGAATTTTAGAAGATCTGTCTTTTGCAGGCACTCATATTTTAAATACTAGATAACCTGCCATGTAGCTGTCTGTATTAATGTAGCATAAGTTAATGCTTCATTTACATCTAGGTTAGTTGTCTCCCTCACTGGCTTGTTTTTCAAACCCAGCATTCATCCTTCCGCACAGTCAGTGATGGGAGAAATCTTCAATCTCATGGAACGTTTCAGTCAGAAAGTAAACCAAATGGTTCCCATTGGCATGTGTGTGTTTCACCATGATATAGCTTCCAGCTTCTTCTAACCTCTTTGTCTCCAGGCACTGGACCATCTCCTGGGCGTGCTTTGGCTGTTACTGGAACGATTAAGTGATATGGGGTCTAGAAAATGGCTTTATAGACTATAGACTTCTGTATAGCCTGAAGTGCCTGATTCCGCCTAATCTTAGAACCTAAGCAGGGTTAGACCTAGGTGAAATTTGGATGGATGACTTAAATGTTGTGAACCATTCAGAGAGCTTTGGCTATGGTTGATATAGAAATGTAGGAGTAAGAATAAGAATAGAAAGCTGAAGAGATGTTACAAATTGAATTTCATGGACCCAAATGAGATTTAAGAGACCCTGTTTGGAAATAGTGACTTATTGTAGTGTCTATAACATTGTAGTTCTCCGTGTGTTCATGTTTTTGCCATTTCTTTTCTTTTTGCCTTTAATGCCACATAACCTCCAGTTTCTGAAAATAAAGCAAATGTTTATTTTTAAATTGCATCCTGTGCCCTGTGGGGGGTTTTTTCTATCCAGCTATGCCATCTTGGTCACTATTTAAGAGGTCCTACTCACTCAGTGGTTTTTTGTGGGAGAGAGTTGGGGGGCTTTGATCTCATTACAAAAGTATTTGGAACAAGTGTCTCTGGAGTTTAGAATGGTGACAGAAAGATATTTATGGCTCTGTGAAAGTCCTTTTGGCTCTGTGAAAGTCCAGGAAAATTGGGATGGGAATAGAATCTAAAGGTTAACTCAGCGATCCAGCTCTTTCACATATGTGCAATTTGGTCATCTTCTGTGATGGTCCTGCAAACTTAAGGCAAGCTTAGGTGCTAACTGATTTTCTTTTAAGCTAAAGGTTCTAAATTGCTGATTGCACTTTATTGTCCTTGTGTGAATCATAAATTGTTGTGATAATCCAGTGCCTGCATTGCCTTACAAGTATAAGCCTGCACATTTCATGAAGAACTCTGTTAACAAGCTGGTAGGTCCTGGCCTCCTCAGCAGTAAGGAACCAGTTTATACTGCCCTGGCCAGTCGCTAGAGCAAGCTCTGGCCTACATAAATGAAGAAATAAGTCTTTCCACTGACTGCTGTGGTATAATAAGACAGGAAGGAGTCCAATATTTTAACTTAGGAATGAAGTGAGAAAAAATAGATGAACCATAGTGGTGGCAGTTAATATGTCAAATGCTACTTGTTATTCAGCTAAGGCTGAGCACTCCCAGGCTGTGCTGCATGGCATACTTAGCTGAATGGGCCGTGGTTAGGATCTGGCCCCAGTTTGCCCATAGACTCAGTGGGATAGACTTGGCTGAGTCAGAACCTCACAGTCGTTGTCATAGTGTGTAAGGCAAAGCAACACCTGGGAGCATTTGGGAGGCAGTTTAAGGGGTGAGTGACACAATGAGCATTCAGCACACTGAAATGCTGTACCCTTTTATGAGCCATTTTTTATGTGGGGAGCCACTCTGCTCTTCCATAATGGGAGACGGCATTAGGCTGGTGCTATGTATACATACAGCCGCTCTGCTGCAATATGTCTGTGCAGCATCTTCATAGAGGCGGCCTCCCCCATCCCTCGAAAGCTGACAGGTGCATCCTGTAATGATGGGACAGCAAAAAGATTCTGTTTCTGGCAGCTGGTTGACTAAGGGGCAGGAATGCAGGAGCAGCTCCATATTTAGCTCAAAAGCAGTCAGTTGCTGCTGCTGTTAGTGTACCCTTTCAGTACAAGCAAAAGCTGGGGAGCTTTCATGAGTACTGAAATGCACACACACTTGCACCCAAATTGAAGAACTGTTTCTGGGAAAACTGCAGCTGGAAAGAAAAAGCTCACTGAGTGAGGTAGGCCATGGGGCACAAGGCCCTCTGAAGGAGGAGGGGTGTTGCTCCCCAGCATGGGCCCTTCAATGCACACCTTCCCTACCAATTTAGAAAGGGTGCAGTTTGAGAGACAGTTTGTGGGGAAAAAACTACCAGTCTTGAAGTGTCCAAAAGGTTTCTCATGGGAGAAGCTGACAGTTCCTCTGTGCAGCCGTTTTCTATTCAGACGGCCACTTGGCAGGATGAGTGCAAGGGCTCAGGCTGTGGAATGTGAACAGAACTGAAAGGCTGAGGTCTGCTGTGGCTGCCGTAGTTTCTGTTCACAATTTATTATTACATTATGTTACTTTTCTATACTGCCTGGGCAGTTCACAACATGTAAGTCACCCTTCCAGATTTCAACCAGGCTCGACCCTGCTTAGCTTCCAAGATTAGGCAGGATCAGGCACCTGAATCCCCACTGGTAATGCTGGTAATCTGTTTCTTAGAGCTGAATGCATGAGAAGAACTGTGAAACATTCAGCATATTGAAAAATGTTGTTCCGGAATTAATTTGCAAAAGGGTTGTTCTGTAATCATTTGCAGACAAAAGTATCCTGGGACACCATCAAGGCTTCACAGCTTTATTGTGGCCTGAGCCAGCTGCTCTTGAAAGTCTTGCACTACTTCGTCTTCAAAAGACCCACACCAGAAAAGAGAGCTGATTTTTTGTTTGTTTATTTGTTTAATACAGTGGACAATGGCCTGAATCCTGCCTGGTCCCAGAAGTCATTTCAGTTCCACATCAGTAATCCTGACTTTGCCTTCTTACGCTTTGTGGTGTATGAAGAGGACATGTTCAGTGACCAGAACTTCTTAGCTCAGGCAACATTCCTTGTTAGAGGCCTGAAGACAGGTATGTGTGGGAAAGACGTCCCGATCTGCTGGGATGCACAGGTGTGCCAGGGCATGTGTTTGTCAGTGTCAGCAAGAGCAGAATAAATAGGCAGTCTAGAAATTATCATAGCTGCAGTGCCGTGCCAAGTGGCTTCTAACAGACATCTCTTGTGGGGATACTATAACCTCAGCCTTTAATTAGAAAAGAACACTGCTGGTCTTTGAAGTCATGGATTTAAAGCCAAAACAACTGCAGTTATTTACAATTGGCTCAGAAATCCAAGAAGCCTGGATCCCACTCAACCCTGCTCTTTCCTCTTAAATTACCCACCAGCTTCTGTTCTCCATATGGACCACTGGCTCTAACCTGTTGCCCACGTGTTGCAAACGCTTAAGCCTGTTCCCTTCTTCCCTCCCTGAGTAATACATAGTGACAAGCATTCCCTGTTCAGTAAGAAATGAAACACCTCAGGACTATCCCACCCCACTCACAGAAGTAAACACCTTGATGGCATTTCCCTATATTTTATATTCATAGTAGCCACAGAAACTGGGTTTTCTCACTTCGTGTTATAGGGTAGTTTAGTGCACCACATAGCTATGTAACTGTATTTAACAGACTGCCATCCTAATTCTTTTTGTTTCCTTTTTAGGATACCGGGCTGTGCCTTTGAAGAACAACTACAGTGAGGATCTTGAATTGGCCTCCTTGCTAGTTAAAATAGACATTATCCCTGGCAAAGTAAGTCTGGAACCTCTAAGCTTTGAAACGGTCTTTGAAGCAGATTAAAAATCCCCAACTGTCTTGTGTAGGGTAGAGTCTGGGCAGGACATAGTGCTAAAAAAATAAAGTCCACTATGCCCCTAAGATTTGGGTGAATCAGTGTGAATTCAGCCAATGGTGGCCAACAGTGGAAAATTACTGGTGCATATTGTTGGCACCAAGGCCCTCTTTGAGAATCATGCTTACCCCACTGTTTGCTCAAGGCATGCTGTTAGGTTTAGTCAGAAGCTGTACTCTCAGCTTTGATACAGTTTAATCTACTATAGAGTCCCATGGGCAGGGTGATTGCTACCTCAATACGGGAAGGTAAAGCTTGATGGCCTCTAGATAGCTTTAGGTCTTTCTGCTCTGGGACTGTCTGGATAACTTCCTTACAGGTTCTGCAGTTACATATAACAGCTTTGCCATTAGAAAGTGTAATTATATAGGCCAAATAATCTGCACTCAGTGCCTACCAGCAACCTTTCTGTCAATTGCATTTTAGAACTGCCCCTGAGTCAATTCCTGATCCAAAAGGGGTGGACTACAGGGTGTCTCTTTCAATGTTTCTTTGGTCCAGCATGTGCTCCTGAAAAGCCCATCTTTTTAAAAGTGCTCCTAACCTTTTTGCACGTTCAGCTACCTGACTTGTGACATAAACACCTGCCTTTATTTCATTAAGCTGGGTGATCTTTTTTGTTATTTTAAATATGAACATGATCTTGAAATGCTTTTTAAGAAGCCCTCCTTAAGGCTTGGGAATTAACAAAAGCTGACCAGTGTCACTCTGTGTGTTCACCCTCGGATACTTTTCATTGTATTTCTTCAAACTTGGTTTATGTTTTCTTTTTTAAAATATTCTAAAATAATATTTATACATTTCTAAACATCATATCTCTCAAAAATGTACATGTTAACATACTCTGATCAAGTTTTCCAAAGATTGCTTTCCTCAGGCTTCCCTGAGGCAATACTTTTTCAATATGCGAATGTGAAACTGAAGGTCTTCTGCATGGTCTCTAGCCTAGTCCTTTTTTGTGGTGGCTGTCTAAACACTTAGATATCTTTGTGTCCAAGTGCACACTGAGGGGAAGAGGAAGCAACCAAGGCAGTTCCAGAATATCATACCAACAAGAGCTGCCACATTACCTTGAACGTTAGGTGCATCTCCACATGTGTCCTGCAGGTGGAAAGTTCACATAAGGACTCCCTTTTGTACTCCTTCCAGAAAACAGGACAGGTCCTGCTGGCTTACAAACTTCTTGCATGTGTTCCAAGGGAGGGGATATCCTGGTCTTGAAAGACTGATTTCTGCTACTTTCCATTTTGAAGCAGGAGAACGGCGAAATTAGCCCCTTTGGAGCCTCAGCTTTCCGAGAGAGATCAACAGATTCTCCAAATCAGCTCATGGGCAGCCGAGCCAGAGAAGGCTCCTTTGAAGCCCGATACCAACAGCCATTTGAGGATTTCCGGATGTCACAGGAGCAGTTAGCAGACCACTTTGACAATCGGGACAGAAGGCAAGTGTAATAGGAATGTGGTGCTCTGGATATATTTGAAACAGGGTGGGCAGTATGGCATCCACTGACACTACTGTATTCACTTGCCTGGCACCTTTTTGGGTGCCTGCCAATTTGCCCAACTTAAGACAACACATTTCCTACCAGCAGCTGGGGTTGCTGTCAGTAGGTTTCCATTGGAACTGAAAACCAATGGATTCAAAAGTGGTGTGTGTTTAGGATCAGATCTCACCTCTGCCTTAGTCTTTTGAATTGGTTATTTGTCCTTTCCATGCTTTGCATGGTAACCATTTTGTGGTTGAGCTCAGGACAGACCCAAAAGGTTGTTTACCACTGGTTTAGGCTACTTAGACCAATATTCTGTCCAAGTATGGAAAACAAAATTTTGGAATTGACCTCATGTGGTGGGCCTCTGTTCCCTCAGTATCTCATTCAGGTCCCTCTTAGGGATTGAGGAGCTAAACATATTACAGAGCATAAGGGACCATTGCCGTGACATGTTTGTCCCAGGGCTAGACTTGAAAATGCGTCATATTTGTGGGAGGTGGGAAGGGGGAAGTGGCACCTGAACTGCCATTGCAAACGCTCTGGTAAACATCCATTCAGAGAGCTGAGGTGACATTTCAACGTGTTTGAGGGGAGGATTAATTCTGCTGGGGTGTCTGCCTTTTGTCTGGTACAGAATGCAAGTGCCTTTCATGATGTCAGCATCTCTAATGATGGAGCTTCAGGAATATGTTTGGTTGGAAGAAATTTCACTGTTCTCACCACCATTTTCAAGTGTACACTGATGGAATTTGAGCAGGGCTTATGCCCACGAAAGATACTTTGGGTTTTTGGTGGATAGTCTGATGAAAATGCCAACCCATTGTGCAGCTGCTAGAGTAGCAGTTAGGAGTGTGGGACTGAGACTCAGGTGATCGGGGTTCTAGCCATGGATCCAACTGGGTGATGTTGGGCCAGTCAGACTCTAAGCCCAACCTACCTCCCAAGGTTTTTGTAGGGATAAAATTGAGAGCAGCAGGAAGAGAATGATGTAAACCTCTTTGAGTTCATAAGAAAAACGGGGGATAGAAATCAATCAATCAGTCAATCAAATGAATGAATGAATGAATGAATGAATGAGCCTGCCAAGTACTGTCCAGTCCCATCAGAATAAAGTTGTCCATTCTCATTGTGAGCCTCTTGGGAACAGAGCTGTGAATATTCCAGTAAGCTATCGTAAGCTGGTGTGAGTCCATGGAATAGAGTGAGATAGAAATACAAACTGACCACTCTTTGGAAATGTGCACAAACCATCCATTCCCCAACACCTAACATTTCTTTTGATTCAGCCCAGCTAATGGTCTCTGCTCCTTTCCATTTTAGCGCTGCACTAAATTGCATAATGGGAACACAGGGTTGCATTCACATCTCCCAGCAACTGGAGTTGTGAACTGGTGAGGTCAGTGGATACCTAGACCTGTCCCTATTGATTATGAAGGTGCTTCTTAAAAGCAGGAAGGCTTGTCATCCTGCACTTATATGGACAAATTGGGAAAGGGGTGGTATCACTTTGGAATAGAGATAAAATTGGAGCAAAATACAGATGATCCTTAAGTTCAGCAAATAAGTGATAGGAAACTGGCATAGGCTTACCTTTACTGTCTGTAGTATTTTGCCAGAGCAGGTATATGTATTTACTTAATTGATGTTTAAACTGATTTCAGGATAAATTATCCCCGCAAGGTAGCTTACGCTAATCAGGAATGCAGTACGCTGAGATTACACAAAAGTAATAAAATTAATATTTAAGTCAGGAGTGGACAAGTTATGGCCCTCCATATGTTTTGCCCTGCAACTCCCTATCAGCCTCAGTCAGCATACTTAATAGTGAGGGTTCATGGAAATTGTAGGCCCAAGACATCTGGAGCACCACAAGACAGATGCTGTGTAAGGGTTAAGCTCGCAAGAGATGTTCCTTCCCCACACAAGGTAGCTGTGCCCACACAGAGAGAGGTCTTTATTGGTATGTACAGAAGAACGTTCCTCCCTGTTGGTGCAAGTGCAGGCATTGCAGTGAGCCATACTGGGGACTGTAGTTTTATCACGTGCCACCTCTGTTCTCATGGAGGCCTCCTGTCCACTCTCTACAAGTTTCCAAAGAAAAGGAAGCCAACGCTGCTTCATGATACATGGCTGTCAAGCAAGTTCCCCACCATAGTTGGGAATGTAACACGTTAGGAGGTTTTTGCAGTTGGCCAGGTGGTTGTCTTCTTTTCAGCCTTTCTTTTTGTCTTCTTTCCTCTCCTTCAGGGTACCACGAAAGACTCGGGTGAATGGAGACAACCGCCTCTAGCCCAGCGTGGCCTGCTGTGAAGCACCCTCCCGTGCTTGTGATTCTCATGGATTGCTGAACTGGTTTCTATGGAAACGTCACTGCTTTGGCCTACTTTCAGGCAGCTTTTCCAGTTTCTCTTCTGAAGGGTGTTCAAGTGGAGATTTTTTTAAAGGATCAATGTATGAATCAACAGTTTCATTGTCTTCACCATAACACTCAACAAACCTTCACCCCTACCCCACCCTTGGCCACCAGAAGACCTTCAGCACCAAACCAGAATAGACGTATGTTGATTGTGTACACCTTGAGACTGGACACAAAAGCCTGTCCTCAACCCTTTTCTTCCTCGTGGGCAGTAGTTACAGAGGGAATCTTCAGAGCTGCCCAACAAATCAGCTTTCCTCCACTCCGTTAAGAGGACCTGATTTTTAAATATATATATAATTAATAATAAACACCTTAATCACTACATGCCTACATGTGATTTTGGTGGCAAAAGGAAACTAGAATTGTTCCTTTGGTATTAGAGCACAAGCCTGGTAGGACTTATCAGGCCTCGTCTCAGTGGCCATCTCAAACTATGCAAGGCCTTTGAGCCTGTCTTTACAGAAGAAGATGTCAGTATTAAGTGCAGCCATGGAGCGCCCATTGTATTAGCTGTGGTTTAGGTGCAAAAGACCATCTGCTGGAAACTGTCAAGCCACTTCTTTCTTTTTGACAAGCGTGAGGCAGAATTACCCAAATACTTCGCTCCACTTTACAGAAGTGACAACTGAGATATAAAGGGGCAGCTTTGGGGGTGGGGTGGGAATATTTGAGCCAAAGCCAGCTCTGCAGGAGGTAGAGCTCTTGCCATTGAAAGCTACATTTGTCCTTGTTCTCCTTATGTTGGATTTCAGCCAACAGTAACAGGGCAAAACAACAGTTCTAGGGGTATTTGCAATGCTGCAACACACAACAGCTGCAGACTCTCAAGGCCAGTATTCCTGAAAAGAGAAGCACTGTAGTTCTGGCCAGTTTCCAAGTCAGGAAAGCTACAGATGTAATGTCGACTTGCTCTTGAGAGCTTGCCATACCACATCTTATTCTGGGGAAGAAAGCTTCTTCATGTCATCAGAACAGTTCTCCATATTTGAGGAAGCCTCTACCCAGTGTTCGTGGGGCCACTGGAAGACAAGCATTGCTACCCTGCGGTAAGCAGGCAACCAAGAGTACAGGCTGTACCGTGGTCCGTTGCCACAGTGGCAGCAGAAGTGGAGTATTGCTACCTTTTGCCTGCTAGAAAAGAGATACTACCCTGCCAACAGGACTGAATATTTTTTATTTAGGTTGCCAGACAGAAGTGGAGGCAAAAATGCTTCTGTCTCCAAAGCAAAATACCATACAAGGTAGTATTTACTATATAATGTTTGATTCCCTTAAGAGAAACATGGTCCTGCCTAACTCTATCAGATGTATGGAATGCAACTGTTGGCTGGGGGGGGGGGATATGACTGTACAATTAAAGTCCTCAAGTACATCTCAGGTGTCCTGCTGTGTCTTTTGTTTTAAGTGGATCACTGTGGAAAGGATAGGTAGAAGCCCAAGAGTCAAAGCCCTACCTTTGTTAATACTTTCCTGAGTAGTAGTTCTTTGGTAGTACTTTCCTGGCTTATATGACCTTTCCTGGTAGAAAATTAATCAAATCTGCATTTGCTGTGGAGCCCAGCCAGTGAAATGAGGATGCTTAAATAATGTAAGTGAGGAGGCTTAAAAATATAAATATGCAAGCTGTATGTGGCTTGTTATAATTACCTACTTCTACTCAGCAGGAAAAGGGACAGAATACTGAATTGGTATCAGTACAGGTGTGGAATAAATTGCTCAGAAAGCCCAACCTAGTTGGTTTTGGATTAAGCTAGCAAGGAGGTTGCAAAATAACCCAGTCAATTTCACTTGATGGCATTTGGGGTTCATCCAAACCAAAGAAACAAAGTCAGCTGATGATCATCATTAATGTAATCCATTTTCACTCTGTCACAATCTTGATTATGCTGTGTTTATATCTGCAAAGTTAAATAAAGGTAAAACTGGCTGGGACATGTGGGGGGTTGCTAGACTACCTGTTGCTAAGTTTAAGTTTGAAGTGTATGCACGAGGCTTCTTGCTGATCAAGGAAGCAGTCACTGGGGAAACAGCACAAAGCGCTTTTGTCTAGCCACAGTGCAGGTAGTATACATTGAGCAGTATTCCGATCATCTCTCCATACCAGCAGAAGTCATTCCTTTCCTCTAAGTTCACATGATGCTGGGGCTGTTGAGATTGCTGCTTCTCCATCCCACTGCAGTTAGTTATTGCCAGCTTGGGTTTGCAGATGTGGTTGGTTGTACAGCATGCTATGGCTTCTCCTAGCCCACTTAGTAAATGAATTCCTGGACAATCAAAATGAAGATGTGTCTTATTATATTTTTAGAACACATCTGAACTCATTACAGAGCAAGACATTCAAGTGTACTAAAAGGGCTCTGGAACTCCAAGGCTACAATTACCTTCTAATGTATGAATTAGTATATATAAGGCAAATTCTAGTTCAGGCTTGTTTTCCTAAACTTGTTTTTCTTCCTTCACTCCTTAAACTTTTTCTCCCTAGAGCAGCTTTCTACCACATGGTGCCCTCCAGATGTTTTAAACTTCAAATTTCATCAGTCCTAGCCAGTATGCCAATGATCAGGAATTCTGGAAATTTTAGCCTAATGCATCTAGAAGGCACCAGGTTGGAAAAGGCTAACCTAAAGCCTATTTCTAGCCATCCTTGTTCAAGGCACAAACAATATAAACTGATTGACAATGTTTTCCTAAGTGTCTTAACCATTAGGATTAGGTTAGAGTGCCTGTCTCCATCTGTGTTTCTGTGCTGCCCCATGTTCTCACCTGGGAGGTATCTGTGATGTCTGCTTTACCTGGTGCTGAAAGGAAAAGACCTATTTTCCTAGGCCTTGAAGACTTGATTCTAGACCTGCTGATGGGTTTTAATCTTGAGTTTTTAAGATTTTTCCAGTTTTCAGTCCTGCTTTATTATTTGGATTTGTAATATCTATAGTGTTTTTTTCCCATTTGTTCTGATGTAAAGCTGCATGCTGGCCACTCTTATTGAAGTGTGGTATATTAAAACATTGACACTAATTCAGGATCACTTAAGTAAGAATTCAGTGTTACAGTACATCTGCCTTGGAGCAGACCCTAAAGGAAACAGCAAGATGTGCTTCCTCAGTATGCTTCAAGCCCCATTTACTTCAGTGTGTAACATTTAAGCAAATGTAACAGTGTTAAAGCAAAATTAGCTAGGTTGTGCTTGTAGAAAATAAAAGATGCTCTAAGTGGAAGACCCCGGTGGCTGAGGTGATGGTTTTCCTCTTCCACCTAGTAACATGCTCACACGTTGGAATTTTGAGTTTAATGGACCAAGGACCATAATGCACCCTCTAAATCCAGCAACAGCACAAGAGTAACTGTTCAGAAGTAAACTGTTCTTCAGAACAGATTAATTCAATGCAGTATGTATTTTATCCCTTTTTATTATCCCTCCCATCTTCCCTCATCCTCCTCCAAAAAAGTTCAGAAGCTATGCAAAACATTTAGCTTTTCTTTTCTTCCTCTCATTGTTTTATTTAAGAACAAACCAAAAAGGTCTCATTTCACCAGACTGTACAGGCAAGCTCTTCCCATGCTCATAGCCACATATACAAAATGAAGGGGAACTTGCAGTTCACTTCGCAGAAGTGGCATCATAGCCGAAAAAGTACCATCAGACCAGGATCACCAGTTCTCTGGCTGAAAGAGAACAGACATTTACCCACTCTGACAGCTTCAACCTTTTCCTCTTCAAACATTTTACCAAAAGTACAAAAATGAACCCAATTTTCTTCATAGTTTGTAAATTAACCCTACCCTAAAAATAATTGTACAAAAAGATGCTTGGTGTACTAGCTCACTGCTACCCTTACATAAAAGGGACCATTGCAGTTAAATCAAAATTCTATGGTCTATTAAAAGATGCTATTTACAATAGTTTCCCATTGGCTTGGAAAGTCGAAGAGCTCGGCAATCTGCTCTGAGAGAGAATTTTTACACAGGATGAGGAAAAGTCAACAAAGCTGTATATCCTTAAGGAAAGCATCCTGAAGACAGCATCAAAGATCCAAGAGCATCTGTGAATGTTCTAACGTCTTGCTTATCCAAGGCATGTGAGTTATCTGCTGGACTCCTTCCATGAGAAAACTTCATTGGGAGTTAAACTATAAAGCACATAGGGCCACATAAAGTTTAGGATGAAAGGGAGAAGGAGCCCCAGCTGCAGTAATTGTTGAGCTGACAGACTGCTGGAGATCTTTTCACATCAGAAAAGCACTTCCGTAGCTTGCATGGCCTTATGGGAGCGGTTTCATAAGAACATGCCCTTCCTGTTCATCGGCATGATCAGGATTCCACCCTTTGGTCATTATTAAAAGAGCCTCAAATGCAAAAATTTATGCCAGGTAAAAGTTAGTGTCCTTGAACTAGTATGGATGCTCCTTCCTGGACTCTCTTCCAAGCAGCTTGCTGCATTTGCTTTTCACTGGCCCTACAACTTTAAAGACACCGGAGGGCTACTTTGCACCCATTTCAAAAGCCACAGGTTTGCAGTATGGCCCCTGACTTTGCCTAGAGCAAACCCTGTAACATCTGAACAGCCCTATTTGAGCATTTCCCCTCTTTCCTCTGGGGAAAGTACCTCTTTCTCCAGTTTCCCTCTCAAACATGAAGGTACTGTATGTATGATGGCATGTACCATAGAAAGGCTCAGCAAATGGATCTTTTCCATACTGGCTATGCCACAGAAGCAATTATATTAAGACTTGAGAGAGGCATTATGCACTGTGTATTATTAACAGCATTAATCCATCCCTATTGTGCTTGTTAATAAAAACAATGTCTTTTCCTATACAAGAACTTTACATCTGAATCAGCCCTTTACACAGAAACTTGTCTACTAGCCTGTTGTCCTAAGTCTTCTCAGGCTTTTGTTCTATCTGGCCCCATATTTCCACTGTAACTGGTAGCAGCTTTCCTGGGTCTATCACATCATCTGTTACTCGGTCCTTTTAATGGAGATGCTGAGGACTGAACCTGGGAACTTCTATGTGCAAAGGATGTGCTCTACTTCTGAACTATGGCCCCCTGCACACATCTGATTCAGTTCAATAGAAATCGCACAGGAGGCATTCCCAGAGGCTCTTTTGCAAAGGGAATAAACAAGAGTTTATTCGGTCTGTGAGCCCCATGTAGCAGCCCATTAATAAGTTTTACAGTGCTACTTCCATTCCACAGAGTGGTTCAATCAGCTCTCAATTAAAAAAAAAACACAGTTTCACTAGGAAAAAACCCAGATGAAATTAAGATTTCAAGTATGACTAATAAATACCACAGAAGATACACTGTGTGCCTGCAGCTGAATACACTCCAATCCTTTCTTCTGATCTGAAAACATTTTACATTCTGGTGCAAAGTTTCCCATATCCCCACATTTCATCTGTTTCATGCCTGTCTATTTAGAAAAGAAAAACATATTGGAAGGGAGCAAGAAGAGAGGTTAAAGGGGAGATTAGGTTTTAAGTTATGACAAATGATACCTTAAGCCCCACATATGTATCAACTGTGTCACACCAGTTCCAAATTCAGGAACACTCCAAGATGGTGCTTGCTATATAGCGGCGCTATCACATTTGATCAGGCAGCCATATGGACTGTCAGTCTCATGCCAAAAGTCTCTGCTGAGCACCAGCTGATCTCACAGCTTGAGCAATGCAGTGTATGCAAGTCCTTGTTGACACAAAAAGCAGCATTAGGTAGTAGCAGTTCTGCAATTTGAAACTAGTCTTAAAAGGTGAGCTACTACACAAATTAGACAAGTTATTTTGATACAAATTAAAATAGCTGGGACTGTTGTACAGGTATGTTAAATTCAGAGCTAGTGTGGTGTAGTAGGTAAGATACTGAACTTGAACTAAGCAGACCAGGAGTCAAATTCCTGCACAACTCTCTGCCAGGAGAGTCTCACAGGGCTATTATCATAGAAGGATGGTGCAATGGAGCTGCAGAGGTTCATGCACACTGTCCTAGAAGAAAAGTGCAAAGGTAATACAAATATGAATGTTCAGAATGAGCCAGATCAGCTGTAAAAACTTAAGTGAGACCAAGCAATTTCTTTGCAAATTCAAATGATGGAAATCCTTTGATTCTTATTCCAGTAGTTTCCCTTCCTACCTTGTGAAATGTGGAGAAAGGAGTAGAATACAGCTTGACTAACAAGATAAATAAGTTTAGCAGCCTATAAATAAAGTATACTTGATACACCAATATCCCTACACTTAAGTGCTTTGTCTAACCACCTTGCATGTCCAAAACTAGCCATGCAGCTGGATTTCTAACCAAAGTGTTCTAGCATCTTTACAAGACGCAAAGTGAAAACAAAATATTCTGATTCTTAAAAGAAAACAAAATCCAGCTTTAATTGAGACTGCTTCATGGACAGAAATCAGTGCAAAAGGACTAGCAATTAATTTGTTTTTAGCACCAAACATTCAGTCTCTAGGAAAATTAGCTTTCATCTGGGGTGGAGTAGGAAAGAGCTCCAAACCAGACAAGGATTAATTAAAATACCAAGCAACTTCGAATCTGGAAGTGGCTTTAGAGTGCAACAAACCACTGAACAACTTAGCCCTCTGTTGTCTGCAGTGATTGGCAGCAGCCTTACCTGGAGCTGCTAGGATCTGAACTTCTGCACGAAGCATGTGCTCTACTTACCCAGCCAAAACCTCCACCCCGTGCCTGTGAAAAAGAAGGGGAGGGCTCTAGCTCAGGATGATTTTAACAGAAGAAGGGCCATGTAAAATTGTGGTAAAGTTTCCTGTGACAAGAAAAGCAGTTGTGAAACCACTGAAGAGAGGCTCGCAACAACGTATTTGCCCCAAAAGTTTTGCTTCAAAAGCTGTGCATTCTGCACTACAGAGAAAGTAAGAGCAGAGTTGCTGTTGGCATTTGATTGTTGCATGCAGCAGCAGCAAAGCCCATCACTCCTTTATCACAAGTGAACACAACACCCCTTGAAGAGACACTTCTCCCTGCCACAAATCAAGCTCTAGTGAATTTTGTGTGTGGCTTTTTCTCATCTAATCAAACAGGATTAAACTGACTTGCCAACAGCCATTCTAACTCCAGGTTTTGAAATCTCTACACACAATATAAATTATAAATCTGCTGCTAAACTTAGCCACCCTGATCCAACAAGAGTTACATGAAAGTGGAATATGAGCAAACCTTATTTTCTAAGTAAGGATGTTCAGGGTTACAACCTAATTAATCCATTCATGCTGCCATCAAAAGAGCTACTTCACATTTGTTCTCATTCCTTTTAAGTGTACACGAAACCACATTCTCCTCAGAAACCAAGGTTTTCAATTACCCAGCAAGCTGTACATGGAAAAATGTTAATGTAATGACTATGTGTAAAATAACTGCATATATGTACTGTGTATGTATATTTAAAACAAACCTGTATGTACTGAGAGACATAGAAAAACAAGAGTGTAGTCTGCCAAGAACTCTCCCCCTGCCAGTCCCACTGAAGTGACTGAGGCTGCTCCTTCATTTGGGAACTCTTGCTTAATTCCCATCCATTTCAACAGAAATGGCCCACAGATTCCTGAGAAGACTACACCCTCTGGCACTTACCTGCATTTGTTCTCTGAAGGCATTACTATAAAATGAAGCTACACTCTTCAGGCCAAGTCTCCTAACAGGGTGTTTCTCAAATGCTTGGTCAAGTGTAGGGCCCAACTTTCCGGAGGCTTTCAGTGCAGCCTGCCACATGCCTCTATGCTGAGTAGACAGGGGTGGCAGTCAGAACTGGTAAGGGAGTAAGACGCACGCATCCTATGCTCCATAATACTCAATAAGAATATAGTTTAAATAACTATGGATAAAGAGGAACGGGTAAGAGGGGGAATGTTATAGGAGAAAGTGAATGTAAAATGGTAGGCATGTCATGAGCAGAGCCAGCTGGAGCCGGGGGTAAGACTAGATGGCCTGGGAGACCCCTTCTGACTGACTCTGTTTCTATGTTTCCAAAAGCAGCAGAAGAAGTGATGAAAGAAGCAAACAGGGAGTTGTGGATGTGGTATACATGAAGGGGCGAAGAGGGTGAAGAAATGGCAGATGGGTAGGAAGCATGTGAGAGGAAGAGAAAAAGAACAATACCCCTAACCTTTTTGCATTGGCTGGCAACACTGGAATTTTGAGATATTGTTCTGGGCACTTTCACAGAATGGTTGCCATGGAAGGGCTTGTTCATTCATAAAAAAACACTGCTTTGGCAGGCGTGGCCAGTTACAAAACACTTATTCCCAAAAGGTTAAAAAGGACTTACCAAAATAACTAGCCCAAAAACCGAAGTAAAATGTGGAACTGCTGATTTCAGCTCTAAATATCAAACTACTCTTTGGAACCCATATACAGATGCTGCTGGAGAACAGTGCTTTGCCTGGCAGCCTCCCAATTAAAAATAATAATTTAAAATAATCTTAACAACTAAAATTAAAACTAAATTAAGAACTAAAATTAAATTAAAAATGGATATGGCTTTTTGGAGAGCTTTCATTCATAAGGTCACTATAAGTTAGAGATGACTTGACAGTACATAACAACAACAACAACACTAGGATAGGCAGGAAGCCTGGTGCCTGCTGCAAACACAGAACTCCTGGACCAGCAAATTTTTCCTGAAACAGGGTGGCCAAGTAATGATACTTTCAGAGCCACTGTCTGCACTTGACTTGCAGAAAGCTGATACGGAATTCTTGCTATAAAGAAATGCCTGCAGCAAATTGTTTGGCAACTTTCAAAGAGGAATTAGATACCAATATGAAATGCTACCAGCAATTGCTGGCTGACTATGCCATACTGTCATGATTTTGTGGGCCTCTTGGATGTAAAAGGCTTGAGAACACCTGTCCTAGCATAGCCTTTACTGGGATCCAGAACTCTTTCCTCCATTATAGACCATAGGCAGCCCTGGCTCTGGCCTACATCATCAGTTCCTTGCAACGATTTCCTAAGAGACTAGGGCAAGTATTCCTGAAAGTGGAACTGACAACTGGGTTTTAGGGCTCCTCCAGTAAGAAAGCAAATAGTTCTGTGGGGAATCTCAGTCTTAAGACCAAGTTTGCATGGCTGAAGCTGTGCAGGTTAGCTGGTCAGTCTTTTCCATCTCAGTGTAAATAGCAGAAAGAGGATTCACAATTCATCTTCAGGGAAAGATCTATGAGTGACAGCACAGATGGCCTATGTATATGGCACTGGAGAGACTCAAGTCCCAACATCCAATTTGTGGCAGAAGTAGAAAGATGAGGAGAAACTTATGGATTGATGCTTAATATAATCAGTGCTACGTGTGCCTGTGCAATTTTTTAAAGAAAAATTCTGTACCAAGATCACCCTTGTGCATTTTGCACAAACGTTTCTTTCCTCTTGTACAGTAAAGAGGTAGAATGGGAAGAGCTTAGCCTTACACATGCAGACAGTGCTCCAGTCTTTCAGTTCATATTGCACTATCATGGCTGCACTGTGTAAAATCAGAAAATGCAAAAACTAAATATACCCTAAAAGTACACAGTTTTGGATCCAGATTTGGGCACGGCAAGTGGGCTGGTAGAAAGAGACCTCCCTTTCTTTTCTCCCAGCGTCATCACCCCTGCCCCTGTGGAAATATATACTGTGATGGGGAAATTCAGGGTTGGGATCCCAATCCAGCCCTTTGGGCGTTCTGTATAAGTCCACACTCTCTTTCCCCTAGCCACCACTCATTTGGTGGTTTTCTAGCTTTTCAATGCATTTCCCCATTCTAAGGGGTTAAAATATCTACCAGTTGCTGGCAATAAGAACCTTAAGCTGAAATACACTGCCAGTTTTGGTATTTGGCCTCAGACATTTTGCCTCTGGGCCAAGCTACTGCAAACTTCTCCAAAACAGGATTTGGCCCATGGGCTGAAAGGGGCTCCCTATTCTTTTGCTACAAAGAAATCCGGGAATGCCTGCAGAATAGGGTGAAGTGCTGTGTAGGTTAGAGGGGAATCCCTGAAAATCAGGCATAGGCATCTTCTGTAAGTGGAGGCCATCCATCCATCCACCCACCCACCCATCCACAAAGGGCAGATTCTAGACCCAACCCAACATGTATACTTATGCTCTGAGATTCTCACAAAACTGAATTGTGTGGCCAACGCTACACTGTGCATCTGTGGGTTTATGCAACACACAGTCCTGAAATGGCTTGAGGTGCAGTAATCCTCCTCTAGAATAACTGAAAAGGACAAAATCCTCTAAAAGCTAACAGAATTTCGATGGTGTAAGGGAGGTTCTCTGTTTCTCATCAAAAGTGTTTCCCAAACCAATCTTTCCAGACAAGAAACTCGGGAGTGAATGCTTGCGCATAATATGACAGCTGGCATCTGAAAGCATCTTCAGAGAAGATTCTGGAGCTGGTTCTATGGAACAGCAGGCCTCCTTAAGTGCTCATACTAAGACAGTTGTTTAGAGCCACCAACTGACCCAGTTAAAGAAATATTTCCTACCACTAGAAATAAACTCCAGCATATTAAATTAAAATGTTCCATACTGTTAAAATAATTAAATAAAATATTTTCAAAATAGAAAGAAAGCCAAGATAGAAGTTACTCTCCAGTTAAAACATACAAAATTAACTATGCATTCTGCATAGCTCAAACCTGCTCTGCAGAAAAAGAGAGAGAGGCAGTGACAGAGACAGAGACAGAGAGATCTTGCTCATAAATGGCCAGAAGAAACAGCAGGGGAGATGGCAAATGTTACCAGCAGCACATCCCTATGAATGGGATCTAATTAACCCACTATTTGCCATTCTTACATACATATAGCCCCAGAGTGTGTCTGGTCCAACACTAGGTAAGGTGGGATTTATGCAAAACATGGTATTTGCAACCTTCCTCACCTACCTGAATAATTACATTTTCTTATTATAGTCTTAATAAAAATAATAAGTGTTTTTCTTTAAACGAAATGAAGGAAAAACAAAGACTCTAGATTAAAATTTACTCCATCCCTGCACATAGAGTATCTGTAGATTTTTGCAGGAGAAAAGCCTCACATTTTTTGTCATTAAAGAATTAATGACAAAAGATTTCCTCTCTGAAGTGCCCATTTTTCTTTCTAGATTTTTGCCTTACTTGTTACTGGATCGTATTCAGCAGCGCAGGACAAACTTGATGCCTTTTAAACACTAGTGCCAGTGAGCCATATTCTTTTCCTGGTTTTGTGCATAGAACTGGGAATATTCCTCAGCAGAGCTCTATCTGAGAAATGCCCCCTGGCTCCACAAGCAGTATAACCCTATTCCGACTTTGAAGAAATTCCCATTGGTTCCGGTAAGACTTACTCCCTTGCTGATAAGTAGAGATCACTGCCTAGATTTCCAAACCTAGTCACTCAAAACATAAGGGATATATGGGCAGTGACTAAGCCTTCAGAGAACAAACACTGAAAGATTTCCAAATATATTATGATAATGATAGTCCGTTTCTATGAAAGAAGAATGGAACGGTGCCTCTACAGCAAGGTACTGTGTGTAGATCAGTTGGTGATATTAAGAAGCTGATTCTATAGTGATATGAAGATTGAAAAAAAAAACCAACAACCCTGTTTGTTGTAAAAAAGAGAGAGAGTTGTCTAGGAGAGAGAGAGAATTCTGCCAACACTGTGCCACATTCTGTTCATGTGCTAGATTAAGCAGCAGACTGCTTGACTCCCCCACAAAACCAAGGTCTTCTTGGCCAGTCTCTTTCACCCTCCCCACAACATCTTAATGTGCTTTGCAAAAAGAAGAGCTTGGCATTGTGGTCGTATTTCCTTAGGACCTTCCAACGGAGATTCAGGCTGAGCCCCGCAGCTGCGAGTCCTCATAAAGTTATCAGCAGATCCTTCAGGAGAGACGCAGTGCTGGTTCAGTTCATTTCTGAAAGCAACACACAATGATGTCACAATTATATTTTCCAATACTGAAAAGAATGAGTAAGAATGAAAAGAAAGGCCAAGAAAAGGCTGTGGAAAGTCACCATGACCTCAGCTGTGTTGGGATGGGAGGTTATGGAGTACTAGCCTTTAAAGTTCCTGCCCATGATGAGTAGTTAAGAAGTTTTCTTGATATAGCTATTTTTCTGACAGTAATTTGCCTTATATCCCTGACCTTTGATTCTTGCTTCACCCTCTTTTCTACCATTAAATAGCCAAAAGCCTCCTGTTCTTCCAAACTATTCACTCTTCCCTCCCTTGTTGCTCATTAAGACTGTAATGTCATGCCTCTTTCCTGTTTCCTCTCTCAAAATTCACTATTCTCACGAAGTTGAAGGCTAGGGACAGATATCACATCTGTTCAGCTTCGTCCCTTGACACCCCAACTTCTCTTCCCTGTTCTGTAGTTGAAAATCCAGTTGTCATAAATTGTGTTGCTTGTGTTAGTCCTTAAATATATGTCCTTGACCTATAAAGCCCTAAACGGCTTGGAGCCCAGTTATCTGAAGGACTGTCTACATCCATATATACCTACCTACCCCCTCAGATCAGCTCAGGAGGCCCTTCTACGACAGCCATCCCTCAGGGAGATGAGAGGGGCGGCAACCAGGTGAAGGGCCTTTTCCGCTGCTGCTCCCCATCTTTGGAACTCCCTCCCTAGGGAAATTCGCCTGGCACCATCTTTATTTTCTTTTCAGTGCCAGGCGAAGACATACCTTTTTAGAAAAAAAAATAATGCTTAGACCCTTTTTATGCTGTTATTATAGAAGTTTTAATTTGTTAGTGTTTAATGGGTTTTTAATATGTTTTATTTAAAAGCATTTATATGCTTTAATATGTTTAATGTATTGTAAGCTGCCTAGGAATGCCTCGGCCGTTATAGGCCGCCTATAAATATGTGTATGTAGGTACGTATAAATACATACATACATACCAGCATACCCTGTGCATATGTATAATTGGTTTGATCCAGACTTTAAAATTTAAAACAGACCCATGAAAATCAATGAGACTTATATCAGCCATGACTAGCTTAAGTTCCACTGATTTCAATGAATCTACTTATGTCAACTACGTCTGGATAGAACCCTTTGAAAACAACCCCCCTTCTATTTATTAGTCTTTCTCTTGGATATGCTGAATAAAACCAGTGACTATGAAAAATGGTAATATTTCTATTACGTTGGGCATTCAGAGTTTTTAAATTTTGCTGCTTTCAGTAGTGAACATACTGTGTGGCCTTATGAGTTTTGTCTCATGTAATCATTCCTAATTAACAAAAACATGTTTTGAATTTGATTAACTTTGGGTTTCTATTCATACTGATGTTTTGTTAGGTGCTGTCAGCATTTCATCAATTCATTCAAAAAATGTATCTCATGCAGAAACCTTTAATGTACATCTGTGACAAGGCAGTTAAACATAACAGTAAGTTCTCGCTTAATCTTTTAAAAAATGAACCCTTGGTTTTTGCCCTCCCCACTTTTTAATGGTACTTTTAAACAAAACAATGTGACTTTATTACATTATACAATACGTGAAGAAACCACATCTTATTCCAGTAATCCTCAAAATAAATTTCCAGTTAAGAATTAATTTAAGTGGAACATGAAAGGAAAAAAATAATACAATTATTGCTAATATAAAGCAGAGCGGTCAGTTTTGGAAGGCCTGAGCACCAACTTTACCCACACCTATCATGAGCTTCAGCCTAACAGGAGACCTGAAAGTGATTTGTGAAACATAGATGTTGGGAGGGAATTGCTACAGAGAGAATGGGATCTACATTGGAATCACCAAGAATGACAAAAAGGTCAAATTGAGCTTATATGCAGGTTGCATTTCACTCTTTTAGGGCTCCTTAGCACCTATGGAGCATTGAAAGGGTCAAATACAGTTTGCAAGCATGATAAATGTTCTGGATTATATTTTTCCCTTGAAAATATTTTAACCTTTCTCTTTTTAGGGACTGCACTGGGAGTGGAGGGACTGCATGCTATCTACCTCTGATGCAAGAGGAACCTAAAGAAAAATAATAGTTCACATTAAGATATATTAAATTCCTTTTGCAAGGATCAATAAAAGGGTTCATCTTTTCATAAAAGCATCCTATCTCTGTCTGTCCTCTTTATTTCTAATGTAATGAGTTAATTTACCCACCCATCGAATCTGCAGTTCTTTGCATGCAATATCCTAGCAGGGAACACCTTCTGCCTCACCAGCCTGCCCAGTCACTGAGATCACCAGGTGAAGTTCTCTGTATCTTTGGTGGCTCCTCATGGACCTGCAGTCTGTTGGGAGTTCCCTCAAGAAGAGGGCCTTCAGTGTATTGGTTCCTTCTCAGGAAGGCACCCATGCTGCTTTGCTTTCAAACAAAACAACATTTTTATTTTCATTTAAGATAATGTTCTTTGAAAAAGCCTTTATTTGTTATTTTTTAAATTTAAGGCAAGCTTCCCCTGACTGACCAGCCATTTCTTTTTATTAACCTAATCCAATTTTAAACATCTTAATTCTATATCTTGATTATTTTTCTTTGTTCACAACTCAGTGATTTTGTTAGATATAGAATGGAATAGAAACTCAGTAGATAAATAAATCTAACAAAAGGCATTAACGTTTTCTGCCCTGTCTCCTCTACAGATGCCCCTACAACACACAAATGGTAGGGATGTGGGGCAGGGCCAGTGGGCACAGCCCCGCTTTTCAGTTCCACTGTGGGTGCCAGAGGAATGCCCAAAGCAGGCTATAATCAGTGAGACTTCTGGACAGAATAATGAAGTCACAAACAGGAACTGCCCTTCATATTTCCATACAAGTTAGAGATCCACCAAAACATGCCATTGTGATGGTCTCCAGTGACAATGGCCCCCACACAGGATGCAAAGAATTTCCATCTTAAAACTGCATCTTTAGCAACTATCACAAGACTGGGACCAAAAGGCAAGTTGTTAGGTTACCTCAGTACCCTTTCCTTAATCCCTGCACCCAACATGATGAAGGAAAACTAATTATCTAATTAAGCATCATCTGCTTTTTGATGCTGTGAGTCATGACATTAAAAAGAGAGAATCTTGTTAGCAGAAATATTTGTGGAAGGTATGAAAATGCTTACCAAAGTGAACTGTAGGTGGATGACTCTCTGTACCTTCAAGTTCTGAACTGCCATCTTGGCCTCCAGGCTCCCACGATTCACTGTTTTCAGAAACCTCTGAAAAGGCATCAAATGCCCCTTTCTGGCTGCCAGCTGGCTCGCCAGCATTCGAGGACTGATCTTCGCTACCTGTGTCCGATATGGCCCGGCTTTCTTCATCGAGCCTTTCAGCAAACCAGAGCCTCACCTGTGGAGTGGTCATTTGAGTTCTCTCACACAAATCTGGGAGGTCATCTTCATAAAGGACCTTGTTCTTTTGGAAATAGTCCTGGAGGATATCCTTGCTGGTGTCACCAGAAGCTTCTAGACCTTTAGGAAAGATGCCATGTTTATAGTTCTGATACCACCTCAAGTTTCCATTTTTTAAACCATAACGGCTATCTCCAAACCAGCGAATCACTTCAACCCTGGGAAGGCCTGTCTGAGAACATATTTGGTCATATTGTTCATTTGTGGGCCGCTGGGACTGTACAAAGAGCAGTTTAAGCAAATGTCTTTGCTGAGCAGTCTTTTTAAAGCTTAGCTTGGGTTTGGGAGGCACAGGTGTCTTGCTAGGAGAACTCCCTCTTAGCACATCTGCACACAAGGCTGGCATCTCACTTTTGCCATTTGACTCAGTCACCTTAAAGTTCTTAAGGTTGATTTTTATAGGGGTCACTTTGCGCTCACTTGATGTTTGAGACCTGCTGGCTGCATCCAATGAGCCATTCTCACATGAAGTTCTTAAGTCATCTGAGGAGTCTTCTTCTTCCACTGAGTCATCTACAGCATCTTCATCTAGGCACAGCTCTTCTTCGATTGCCTGTTTTTTCCTTCGCTCGGAGAACCAGCTGTCAATCTCTCTCCTTGTCATTTTCGTTTCACTTCTTAAACGGTCTACTTCCTCCTCAAGAGGAAAAGAGTTTTGTGCAAAGCTGCTTTCTAGAGCTCTGAGTTGCTCAGGAGCCCTCTCCTTATACTTGGTAGTGGAAAAATCAGGGGACTGATGATGACATGACTGATTGCGGATTGAGGCATGAACAACAGGTGTTGGTATTGATGTGGTAGTTAACTCTGTGGTTGATTTGGGAGAGGACGTGAAGGTAATTTCAGGTACAGAATCTATAATTATTGTATTATCGCCAAGAGGCATCAGTTTGCTGCCTCTAATGTTTCTACAATGGTATCTCCTATCACTAAACCATTTTCGAACATCCCTTGTACTAAGTCCTGTGATTTTTGTGAGCCGTTCAACTTCGACATGACCAGGGAATTGATTCCTACAGAAGCTATCTTTTAGTGCAGACAGCTGTTCATAAGACTTCTTATTTTTGTACAAGTTGGGATCCAAGAATGCCTGTGATGTTATATTTGGGCAAGCAGTGATCTGAGACTGAGCAGCACTGACTACCTTCATAGTGGATGGAGAACTAGAAACTGAAACAGTAGTGGGTGGCTTAGCAATCTGGGTCTTTGGAATGGATGTTACTGCTATGGCAAGAGATGAGGTTGTTCCTTGAAGTCCATTTGCTATTATCGGTTGGGTGACTAGAACACCACCTGCTCCTTCAGGTTTTCCAACTGAATGTCCAGGCAAACTGGCCTGAATGAGATGCTGAACACCACCAGGGCTTGTAACTAGAGGTGTATTCAACACTGTAATGGTGGATTGGGGCACAGACTGAATCACAGTATTAAACATTTTCTTCCGTGCATCTTCTATCTCCTCAGGTGACCAACTGATTCCCTGCTTTAACCTCTGGGCTGTAAACCAAATCTTCAACTGTTCTTCTGGGTACTTGGTCACAACAGTCAAATAGCAAAGCTCAGCTTTGGTAGGGTAAGGGAACTTATGGAAAGAATTTTTCAGGAAGCTGTTAGAGTCCATTGCTGCATTGTATGTTGGGATACTACTCAAGGGAATCATGACCTTGGGAAGGGATTTTGATGTGGGTAGCTGCTGGTGAACTTGTGGTTGCTGTTGCAGTTGCACCAGTTGGGTGATGCCTGCCTGCAAAACAGGCACATTTCCTATTACTGAGCCATTGACAACAGGTGTTGATTTGACCGCACCTGCTACTGATGGGCTCACTGGCACAGATCCATTGGTGAATGGCCGTTCACCACCTTTTGTCTCCAGATCCTTGTTTGGTTTACTAGATACATTTTCTTTCAATGTGTGGATCTTTTTAACTTCTGGTTTTCCTTTCATTATCTTCATAATGGGTGTTTTAGTAATAATAATTTCAGCTTGACTATCTTGAACTTCCTCAGGTAGATCTCCCAGAAGATCTTGACAGCTGTCAGTGCCAGTATCTCCAAAGGTTTGTTCCACAATGACATGATTGCCTTGCTTCACAACATTCCAGATTAAGCTGGTTTCCCCAACATGGTGCTCTGCATTGTGACATGAAAGCTCTTTGTGGCTCTTTACCAGGAAACTGCACTGCACACACACAAAGGAAGGAACTTTGCTAAAGTCTATATGCTCAGAATCAAGGTGACCAAGGAACTGATTAACATCTTGAGAGTAAAAATGGCAATATGTACATCTGTATGTCCCACCATCTACAATACCATTATATCCATTGGACAACGTCCCACTGTTATGATCGCTATTAACAGCAGTTTCACTAATAGGCAGTGTGGTGGGAGTAACAGGTTGTTGAGTTTCTTCATGATCAACACCAACAGAGACTGACTGTGAGTCCTGTAATGCCAAGGTCTTGGGCGGTATCATACAGGGCGTTGTGGATTTCCTTTTGCTGGCCATTACTGCAACCAATGAAGATAGTCAGAGCTCAGGAAGCAAATATTACTTTTTAAGAATGCCTTGCAGGGGGAATTCCAGCAAATCCATGATGCCCCAGGAAATGTTCATCAAGAGTTCGGAGAACCACTTAAATTTGCCATCAAATCTGAGGAAACAAGATAATACTATATTAGCAAAGCATTGTGCCACAAGCTTATACTAGTATTACCACATGCTATTGACTCCTGAACTTTATATTACATGTGTGGTCAGCTGTTAGACTTACAGGATCACCACTGTCATTAGTAAAACCCGAACTAAAGCCAGCTGCAAAAGAGAGGTTGGGATGGTGAGGAGCCAAGTTCAGCAGGCAGAACAAAACCTTCCACACCCAAGGGATGGCCTGCCTAAACATGCACAAATCTCCATCTGAGATACTACAAATCAGGGGTTCCAAAAGCCTTATTTACAGTGGGAATAGCTTATTGTTGCTGTGGTTAAACATTTGGGAGTTAGAAACTCTTGCCTATCTATTGCAAATTAACCAGTAGATCCCAATCCACTTTTTGGCCACAGCTGATACATTACATACCCATCATGTGACAGTTACATAAGAGACAAGATCATTTCAGTTCAGTGGATTGGGACACTGATACAAGATTTTTTAAAAAATACATTCAATCAACAGTTAGCAAGAGAATTAAAGGGAGACTGATATGAGGAACACACATCATGGCAGGACTGACAGTTTGGAGGAAAAGCAATTCATAAGAAAAAATTTAAGTCGCCATAGGCATATTTGATGTTAAATTCCTACTCAGCTGTAACAGTTACATACATATTTTTATTAAAATGCAATATAATATTTAATAAAAGTTAAGCATATGTCTGCAGCTAGTACCTCTTGTAATTTTTAATTGGTACATCAATTTGAGCCCACAGATATAACATTCTCCGATCTCAAATGAGCTATGTAAAAATAGTTTTAGTGCCATCAGAGGGGCGATCTGCCAATATGCAGAGGTCCCACAGTTCTTCTGTTCAGCTTTTGTGTTTAGACTCAAGGTAGCCAAAAACTATTAGTAATAAATCATATCAAATATAAGTAAAGTATACAAGCAGCAAAGTTTAAAAGCCCCAATAATAAACTTATGCAAATCACTTAGAAACATATATTCAAAGCCTCTCAATGACTTGCTATGCCAGTTGAAACAGCTTTAAAAGCTGGTGTCTCAGGGATACCATCTAATACAGTGAAAGATGCAGGCCACAAATATATATTTATTTAAAAAGGAATGAGAAATATATTCTACTGACTTGTTTCTTGCATTGCTATGTTGAACAATGCAGGCCAAATTTAGATGATGATCTACAGCAGGGTTGAGAATCTGTTCTTATCCAGATATTGTTGGACTGTAACACCCATCAGCCCTGACAACTAGCCATGTTGGGTAGGGATTATACGAGCTGGATTCCACTATCATCAGGAGAGCCAGAGGTACCCCATTCTGATCTACAGGTTTTCTGCTGAAATATTAGCATAGAATCTTGTGTACCTCTGAGGGGGAAAAGAGAAGTTTCCGGGTGGATTTGTAATAGAAAAAAGACAATTGATAACAGAGCAAAACTTACTTGCATGAGGTAAGTATTTCAAAGAGGTTCCATATACTAGTTTACCCTCCTCCCTTTCCACACTATGTTCACATGAACATAATGAGCAGCATTAGATACACCTTCAAGAACGAGTTCAAGAGAGTTTCAGATGGATTTGGTACTGGTGTATACATTTCAAAAATAAGAAGACTTGACGTATTATTTTCCACCCACAACGGAAGCAGTTTCAATTAACTCAAATGGGAGTATCCCATAATTCTTCTGGGATCAACCTTCCATATGATAATTAGTAATGCTCCATATGATGGACTACCATCACAACACTACCAAGCTGTCTTATACGTAGTCCGTCCATTGCTCTAGATATGAACCTGGAACCAAATTGACCCAGTCATGTGGTATGGCTAATTATATGGATCTTCCACATTTAACTGATACTCCCTTTCTCAGATGTCAGAAAAGCATCTCCCACCATTGCTGGTGAGCACTTAAAGTGGCTCCACAGTACAAATGGAATGAAAGTTAAAGGCCATTATGACCTTATCCCTGCATTTGTTGTTGGACTGGGCATCCAAAGTTACTCTTAGACTGAGCATTGCCTAAGTGGATTAGCATTCCCACGATAGCTGGATTCTAACAGTTAAAAAGATTGTATCTCAATTGCATTTGGAGGGATAGCTCAGCTTTGACACAGTTAAACTTGGGAGGGGGGGAGCAAGAGAGAGCGAGCGAGCAAGAGAGAGAGAGAGAGCGCGAGAGAGAGAGAGCGGTTTGATTTAGAATATTGTAACAGCCTGACCTTATTCCCAGAAAAAGTTAATATTTGCTTGGCCCTCTCATGTAAAGTTAGCTTAAATTTAAGCATGGTGACAACATTCCAGACAAAATGTAATCGAAGGGACTGTTTGTACATTTCTTTCCCCACGAGAACAGTTACATAAGCACATGCAGGGGCCTGGCGCAGACTTGTATCTGCAACTTGAGTTACTGTGTACTCGGAGAAGACCAATCTTAACAGGATGTTTTTGATTACCAGGCAGACTGGAGCTTGTGTACTTGTACAATTGTAAGGGAATCAAGCCTGAGAGCAACATGACTTGTTCTGCTACGCAGCAGGCTAGGATGTTTTGCTTCTCTTTAAAAAATGAAGGATGTATTCGATTCATTTGAACTCAAACACATGAAGATGTTATATGTCAAGTTGGATTACTAGTTCCTCTAGCAAAGTGTCATCTATTTTGACAGACTGCAATCTTCCAAAGTCTCTGTGGTCTTTACCAAGCACTTGTTACCTGGGATCCTTTTCACTGGGGGTCCCAGGGATCAAACCTGCAATCTTCTTTATTTATAAGAGGCAGAATGAGCTATAGCTTCTTCCCCCAAATCAGTCATTTTTAATCTTCCAATACATTTGGGGCCATAGCTGACCCTTTAAAACATATAAATACAAGTATGGGAAATTTGGCCTACCAACACACACACCACCTACAGCAGCTTCTATTCTGTGCAGTTATCCTATAATAGGAGGATCACAATTGTTCAGTAATATTTCAAACTGCATCTCATTTTTAATTTGAAGGTTTCATTAAAAATAAGTTGGATCATCTTGAATTATTACTATAATTAGATACAAAAATTCTCTGCTTTTTAATGCCTCCATCAGGGTTGTACCTCTTATTTAGCAACACAACAGTCACTTTGCATCCATTCAACTACTATATTGAGGCAGAGCCATTTGATTTTCTGAAAATTATATGCTAGGAGGATAAGAATCCTTTTCCTAGCAGGGAATACCTAAATCCATGCCAAACACACATGTGCTCACACAAAACCCAAAGGGCACCTTTAAATAGTTTCAACCCTTTAATCCAGAGGTAACACAGATCCACAGATTACAATAATCAGTTAAATCACCAATAGTAATTGACTTTTAATCCCAGTTAACATCCACCTTCCAACCCAACTATCACATTCACCAAATGAGCCCCTTCCAACACCATGAAGCACCCCGTATTCCCTATGCCAGACAATCCTGACCAGCTGCCCTCTGAATGTGTTGAACTCTTCTTCTGATGTTTGCACACACTGTGACATCAGTGTTAGCAACATCTTTCAAAGTTGGCCATGTCCACGAAAGGACACAGTTACTCCTCAGCCCCATCACCTAGCAGATGAGCCTCTCCAATGCAGACCATTTGTTCACTAAGATCATTGGATGAAGCCTTGCTGGTTGTGGTAACTCACAAATGGGTCTTTCCCATGATGGGATCCATCCTCTTTATAAGGACAATGTTCCAGTTAAATGCCTACCTGTACAATCAAGCCTTCCCTAGCTGATTGTCCAGCGCCCAGTAGATGGCTAAGTCTCTACCTCAAAATGTTTCAATTGAAAGAGGGGTTTTGTTTAAAATGTTTTAACTGAGACATTTTCCTATTTGCTTTTTAAACACTTTTAAACAAAAATATTAAACAGAAGGCAGAGTCACTAGGTATGGTCTTTTGTCAATGACAGCAGACAAGAAGCTCAGAGACATCCTTTTGAGATTTGTGTCTACTGATATTCACACATCCTTCAGGCATGAGAATGACTTACAAAACTGATCTTGAACTTGTGAACAGGTCCTGGATTCTACAACTTAGTATCAATTATGCATTAACATCTTTATTATGTTTTAAATCTTTTCATCTATCCTCTGCCAGAGAGAGCACATATCTATCTCACATCTATTGCTAGTCAAGTTATTCTTTATAAGTTATAGAGGAGTAGAGGAGAGCACAGCTCTGGGGTAGATACAAGACAAATCTATGCATGGTTATAGTTATGTTTCAGGCATGCTCTTGAGTAAGCACATTCCAATCCCTTTCACCTGGATCAGAGGTACATGGTCTGTTTTCATGGGGTTATTAATGTAGGGTTGGGCAGTAATGTAACACATTCAGTCTGACAATGCCAGTGTTTCCAATTAGAAGATTAAAAGGGCAGTCTTAATTAATTAATTTCTATATTGCCCAAACAGCTGAAGCTCTCTGGGTGGTTCTTCCCAAGTCCTACTTAGTTAGTAAAGCAAACACATGGATTCTTTAGATAGTCAAACACACAGTTTTATCTGAACCAGTACCAGTTTTCAGTACCAGTTTGCCTACACCTCTGTGGTGGGGAAAGCTAAACAAGAGTTAAGGGATAGCTGTACTTTATTTGGCATGATCAAGGCCCCCCAGCTCCAGATGCTTCATTTATGCCCAGCAACTCCAGAGGTTGCAGATTTGTGACAATACCACAATCCACATCTGGCTCTCGGGGGACAGTTTGAATGATACCATCACTGCATGTTAGCTGCACAGGTAAGGCTTGGCTTTACCTTTAGGCAGAATGAGAGCACATATTTCTAGATGCCATGAGAAAGTAGCAAAGCGTTATTCCATTTACTACGGTTGTAATTCGCCCCCAGGAAGAGGTACTTGTGAGATTTTACGTCTTGGATGTCAACATAACCAGTCCAGCCTTGGATACTAAACACCCTGATTTGGGAAGGGTGGGCACTTTTCCTATTC